AAAGCTCTACCAGAATTCTCTGGGTGACATTCTGGTCTGTATAGATGTCCCCTGACAAACAGAAATACTTGCTTAAGTCAGTATTACATAGCTTTCAATATTTTCATTCAGTTAAAAAAAGTATAAAGTTTGTTTGTGTCTTTTACCTCCTATCTGCAAATTGATTTAAAAAGTAGTCTCAGCCAGTCATATAAAATGTAAATATATTTCAGGAATTGTCTTCATAAAACAGCAGGAGTTACAGAGAACTGTACAACATCTGCAGGTTCAACAGTATGATGCAAAGAAAAGGCCAGCACACAGCCTCAAAATAAGATTAAGAATCAAAGAGATTAATACATTGCAATACTGATATTATTCTATTCAGATATTGCTTAGCTGCTATTTTACTATTTCTTTTCAAGCTTATTTTCAGTTCAGAGATGAAGCATTACTCTCTTAAGTCAGCTGGCGTGGCTTCTCTCAGACCAGTGGATTCTGAAAATTCACCTTACTACCTTAGAGCAATTCTTGTCTTTCACTCTCCATCTCCCTGGGCCATCAGGTGCAGGCAGCACCTCCTTCACATCCTGGACCAGGGAGAGGAGACAAAGTGCAACCAGAGGATGAGGGAAAAGCTGTGATCTGGGCCCCCTTTACACAAGCAATTATCACACTTCTCCTTTGGTCACATATGCTTGCAACACACCTCCAAAATTTCAGTCGACCTTGGAACCGCAAACAACAAATGTGAATGTTCCTTGGAGCTCTTACAAATTGCAATTTGAGAAAGCTTTGTTTATATCCACTTACTTCATCATCAGCCAACTGAAGCAAACTGTTTTAGTAAATGGGCCAAAGCCCCACGTGAACTCCATAAAAAGTGGAGCAGGGATAGGCCCAGCCTATCTTTTTACTCCTAACAGAGGAGCATGTACACATTAATCAGATTTTAACCAAAAATATTGCAGAAGCAATGCAGTTGTACAGGTCAGGGAAGGGCACTGCTATGCTTCTGCTGTGCAGCCCAGGGATCAGGGTTGGGGAGCTCTACTCCTAAACCAGAATTTACAGGACATGAGGCTCTGCTCCTTGCTGTGATGCCCAGGTAGCAAACACAAGCTTGGATGTACACACCTACACATGAGAGCCTATGTACAGACATGTACATATATCCCACCACATCAGCAAGATGTTTGAGCAAAATAAAACTATTAATCCTTTAAAAATTCTAGTGTTTGTTTTTATACTGAACGCTGGTGGAAGTATTTCCTTATAGGAGGTAGTTCAGCTCTGGGGTTTTTTTAAGGATTAATAGTTAACAATTAATGCAAAAAGCTGGCAAACACTTCCTGCACTCACTAAGGCACAGCCTGAGGGGCTGGAATGTGGCAATTAGTGCATCTTGGGGCAATTAATGTGCTGGGGCTCCTCACAGGGCTGGGTGCTTCCAGAGCACTCAGGTGATCAGAAACCACAATGCAGAGCCAGAGGTTACAGCATGGTGAACATGAGGCAACAAAAGACAATACTGATAAATAGGTCAGTGAAACTTGAGTTTACATCAAAACAGATGGACTTTGGACACTCAAGGACAAGTGCTTCTTTACTCAATTCTAACCAAACTGAAAGATTTTGCTTCCCTCTACATCTGCATCTCTATAGACAGAGCTCTATAGCACATGATATGCATTGAATCCAAACAAAAAATAACATTTATTTGTATGACAGAAGTGCAAGCAGTGGCTTGCCACTTAGCCCCACTTCAGTGCTGTCCTGAATTGCCAAGCAAATTGTATTCTATTTGCCATCTGTATGGCAGTTGTCTTCTGTTCAGTGGGCAGTTTTTTCTTTATCTCTTCCACAACCACTCCTCCCTCTGGGGAGGCATCTGCTGATAACAGGCTATTGAATGTCACTGCATGGCTGATAAGAACTACAGCATCCCACTGTGAGATGCTCCGCCCAGAGGGAGGAGCCAAGCATTCCTACCTGGATATAATCTGGAGATTCTGGAACACCAGCACTGTTCCTCCACTGGATTTCCCAGAGGAACAGCTGCCCTTTCCACTGGATCTTCAGAGGAAGAACACACCTTTCTACAGGATCCCTGCTCCAACAGAACCACACCTGACACTGCAGGAGGGCTGCAGCCACATTTCCAATGGGACTGCTACCAACACCCTGACCCACAGGGTGTCAGGTTGTGCTCTGACTGTCAGTGGTGTTTTAGTTTACTGCATTGTTTATTTTATTTTTTTATTTTCTTCCCTAATAAAGAAATGTTATTCCTGCTCCCATATTTTTTGCCTGAGAGCCCCTTAATTTAAAATTTATAACAATTTGGAGGGAGGGGGTTTACATTCTCCATTTCAGGGGAGGCTCCTGCCTTCCTTGGCAGACACCTGTCTTTCCAAACCAAGCCAAGTGCCTTTCTATCTGTGTGCTACCCTTCATCTCTGTCCCCTCATTGTCCACTCCACCAGCAATAAGTTGAAGCATTGTTTTGCCTTCCTGATATTTATTGCAGCTGAAGGCAAAGCAAGACTATACATTCAAATATACCTTCAGGCAATTAATAAAGCTAACTTTTTGGACATAGTGTGGATGGACCTTTGCTAGGGAAAAAAATTCTGGCTAATGTGCATTTGAATTTGATTCAGATAGATTCTTCAAGGTGTTACAAATGTTGAAATAAATCTCTACAAGTTTGGTAGCTATGAAAAATGTCTTTGAACAGTCAGGACAGCCTGACTCCAGCTCAGTTTTGATGCCTGCTTTGGAATGGTGGTGGCTATGAGATAATCATGATATAACAAAGAGTTAAGTTCCTGATTTACATTTCCTTCACATCTTAGATATCCACATTCCTAAGGTGTTAGCTGTGGCAACATTAAAAAAAACATTTTTCTACTATAAGAATCTTCATTTATTATAGAACAGAGAAAATAAAACTAAGACTGCAGTATATAATTAGAACTGCTGCCAACATAGTGCTATGTATCTGTAAAAACCTGGGTTCATATGGCACAATTACAATGCATGCCACATCTTCCTTTATTGTATGAAAATACCTGTTTCAATCAGGATTTTTTTTTCTTTTTTTTTTTCTCTCTTTATTTTAGCTTTGGTGTTCTTTTTTTGAAGGTGGAAAGACATGCCAAAAAATTCTCCCCTAGCTGTGGTGACTTTTTTGTCTTCAATACAGAAGAAGTTACATTTGTTCTTGTCAGCATTTTAGCACGATGCTATTGTTGCTTTTTGTTAAGCAACTTTTTACTAATTCAAATAATCCCCTGCTAACCAACTACAAATACTGCTGTGCCCATGGTTTGAAGGGTTCTACAGATTGTCAAACAGATTTTCAAAACAATCACGACACAGATGCAAGTTGGTACCTGGGATGCCCTGTCAATCTAAAAAACCCCAAAAAACTCTCCAAAGCCTAGACAAGGCAATTTACTTGAGTTCTTTTTAGGAATTCCTTACATAAGCTGCTACTTAGCACAGTCCATAAAGTATATTTATACTCTTACAGGTATGAATTTTGACCATTTCCTCTGCCTCTTATGCAATTATATAAAAGCTATTATGCTACATGATTTGGAGTTAAACAAGTCTTTCACTTCCAACCTGAATACAGGCAGTCTTTATAAATCTTATGCCAGAAATATCTAGTTCTCCTTATGTATGATTTTTTTTTTAAATTAATGGGTATGTGTCAACTGATCAAAAAAAAAAAAGGTTGGCTGAAAAATTTGAATATGCTCTATGAAATGAAAGGAATTTATGCTCCTACCAGATAAATCAAAGATTTTGTTTCTTTGAAGGTGATATTTTCATATATATCTGCACTGGAGGCCTTACTGACCCATTCATTTATGACACTTATGATAAGTTATGATAAGTTATTTTAATAGCAGACCTACTTTCACCTTCCCCACAGCTTATCCTTCATAAACGACTGACTTCAGATATGCTCAAACATCCTTATGGATCATGTTTTGCACTGGATTCTGTTTAAATTGTCTTTCCAAATCAAACAAATCCTGCTAAAAGGAAATGTCTCCACACACAGCATAATGGAAGGAACTCACCCAGCTGCAATCCTAACTAGTAGCAGAGTGAAACTTCTGAAGGTAAATCCTATTTCCCATAGTATTATTAAACATATAAAAGCAGGGAATACAGAAGCAGAGGCCAAACTCATTATTTCTACTTCCTTCTCAGGACAACATTCCCCATTAGATTCAAGCTGAGTGATTTTGTTTATTGAGAATACTGAAATTTGATCTCAGGCTGCTACTGCCATATGAAAGAGGTTTTTAAAAATTATTTTTTGCTTATGTTTTCATAAAGAGCTTCAAAGGGGAGAAGTGTGTTATTTTTTTCTCCTCCTACTGAAAGCAAATCAAAGTCTCTTGAGCTACATTTTACTGTTTATACACAAGCATTAAACTGCCAGGATATAGCATGAATAAAAGATCTGAAAACAACTTTCAGAACATTGCAACATTTCATAACAAGAACAATGCACTGACTATAAATCACACTTAATAGAATACCAGTACATCTTCAGGTTCTCAGATAATATGAGTAGAGAGGAAAAAATTAATGGCCTTTCTGTGCATAAAAACTGCACAATAAAGTTCATTTGTGAACATAAAATAACACCTGTTATTTGTACTGAAATGTTTTCTATGATCTGAGCTCAGATCACAATTTAAACATGATAGAGAGCATTTATGCCCCATCTTTATGTTACTTTATGTTATAAGAAATGCTATAAATTTTAACTGAACCATTAATGTCTGCTTTTCAGCTTGTAACGGCCTTAAAAGTCTGCAAATATATAGGAAGAAAGGTATCATAATAACAAATTGTTTGAAAAAATGAGTGAAAGATTTGAAGACCTAACTCCTGATTCAGTTTTCCTGTGAATTTTAAGAGAGGTCTGAGGTTTAGCAAACTTTATCAATTTCTCAGTTCATGATGAAACCCATCATGAACTGGTAACTCACCCTCTTCTGCTCTTTCATATATTCCATCAGTTCCTCTGTTGTCCTTTTCACTGCTTCTTCAATTGCCTTTTCACTTCGTTTCTGCTCCTCCATTAATGCTTCCTTGACAATTTCCTTTCCAAAAGAAAAGCATGTAAGTGTACATGGAAAAAAAAAAAAGTCACAAATGTGATAAAAGGTCATCCCATTTGCTCCTGCTAATTTTTTATTGCCTCTACACTCTTTTCCCAGTTATAGTTATCCTAAATGTATGCAGTAGCTTTATAAAAATCAATAAATTTAGTACTAAAGGGTAAGTAAGAGAGAGGGAAAAAAAAGAGAGAAATAATCACTTTAAAGCTACATTAATAGAAATACAATGTTCCCTGAGAGCAGAAAATAACTCAGGTTTTACCTTCCATCAGGAGCAGGGATGGCAGGGATTTACCAGTTGCTGTTATCAGGCCAGACAACTTCAGCTGGAAGAGAGCTACAAGATCATCTGCTCCAGCTGCCTGGGCCCTTCAGGGCTGCCCCAGAAATTAAATTATTAAGGGATTCTCCACAAGCCTCTGAAACACTGACAGTCTTAGGGCATGACCAGCTTTCTGGAAGCCTCTCCCAGTGAGGAGACCACCCTCTCCTAAAGGAGAGCTTCACAATGTCCAGTCTGAACCTCCCCTGATGCAGTTTTGAGCCATTGCGACAACACCAACCTCAGTTTCTAATTATCAAAGCTTTGTGTAAACTTTTACAAAAACTTGCCAAAATCGTTAATTTGCATCCAAACTTTGGGAATTGCCAGGGACATTCTGTACACCGCAGTAAAAAGCAGCAAAAGGTACCCAACCCCCCCACCCCCTAAATTAGCATTGCTCTACATCAAATGCATTACAGCAGAGAAAGCCAAGAACCACTTCTTAAAACATCCCTCCATCACCTGCAGTATTTGGTTAAGGAGACAAATTTCTGGGCTAAAGTCACAAAACTGTCCCAAAACTGAAGTCCCAGCTTCCCAAGGCCACTCATGGAATAGGCAGTGACATTATTAATCCAAGTGTTCTGTTTCCAAGATTCAGGAGAACAAAATGACAAGACTCAGCTTCCTTTAAATCCTGAAAATGCAACATTCTCAGAAAGCAAAAAAAGCACCCAGTAAAAGCAATCACATGATCTTAAATGATTTTTCAGGGAGATCAAGAGGAAGATGGAGAGTGCTTCAGAAATCAGAGAGAAAGTGGCAATTCCTATGTCTTTGTTCTAGACATTCCAAATTAGAAGAAACAGAAGCACTAGTGGTGCACCTGAAGAATTAAGCAGGAAATGGAAAAAAAACCTCAGTGGTTCAAACAGGAACACAACATGACTTCCAGTGTATTTATTCAGATGCATGATTTATGATTTTTTTTTTTAATTTTTAAATCAAAACTTTAAGAAAATCAAAGGTAAATATAAATGTATTCCTTATTACTCTTCACTGGTTAGACATAACACTGCACTACCCACAGATTTGTTTACAGGCTTGCTTGACTGCAGAGCAATACAGACATTTTATGATACATATTTACAACTTGGATTTGGGGGAGTGGGGAAGGTTGGCTGGAGGACAGGTGGACTTCTAAGGTTTTGGAAATACAAGATATTTATGAAGTTGCATAATTCATCTGTATATTTCAAAATCTGCTATTAGTGTACAAAATTAATAATTCACCAAATTGGATCAAACTAATTTTTTTTTAAAGTCCCTTCAGTGGAAGTTATTCAACTGAAAAAGAAGGCTCTATTTCTTACCTTTAGTTGTTTGCTCTATTTCAGCCAAAATGGAATAGTTTCTGCAAAACTACACTTTTGCTATTTTTATAGCAGAAAATGTCTAAAATCCCAAATTTAAAATGTGTAACTTTGTAGTCCCCACTGTTCTGGAATGCAGTACACATGAAAATCAGTTGTGAAAAGTGATTATGATTTTTTCTTTTTTAATTCAGTTTACCAAAGAAAAATCCCAAGAAAAAGGTTTCTTTCACTACAGAACTCTGGCAAGACTAACAGAAAAAGTAGCAGAAAATTACATATTACAGAAATATGCTGTTCTTATAATTATAGTCTCATGCCAGTTTAATTTGTCAAAAGGTCCCAAAATACTGTCTTGTGTTAGAATGGAAAAAAATCCCATAATCTATCCCATTAAACTCTTCAAAACAAATTACAGAATTGATAAAGTGCTATATCTTAATATCTAGAAAATTTTACACCCATAAAATAATTACAATCAATTGATGTTAAGTATCCTTAATACAATACTTGAAACCCTACATAGTCCAAATAAGTATTTGGACTATAAAGTCCAAATAAAAACACAATTAAATTCTACAAGTCTATTAATAAAATGCAAGAAAACAGAAACCACTAGCAATACCCTTATGGAACACTAGTTCATTACACTGACATTAAAACAGTAAAAGTAAAATTGGAAAGAATTCTTTTTCATTTCCTCTGGAATTGGCACAAGTCCCCAGGGCTGTGGTTAAATCACCATCCCTGGAAGAATTTAAAAAATGTGTAGGTGTGGCACTTGGGGACATGAGTTAGTGGCGGCCTTGGCAGTGTGAGGTTAACAGAGGGACTCAATGATCTTAAGGGTCTTTTCCAACCTAAGTGATTCTGTGATTCATCCACCACATTCTAGTTATCCAAATTAAGTGCTGATGTATCTTCCCAATTTATAAACAATTCTCTCAGTGTTTCAGACACTGATCACCTCCTGTTACCACCTTAAAATCACCTCAACACTTACTGTCACCAGAGAGGTCCTGTGGCCACCAGACAGGCCAATCTCCATGGGTGACTGCACAAAAAGACTCCTGCTTTAGTGGGCTTCATCCCAACGTTTGCATTTACCAGACTGCTGGCAGCTGTCCACAACACTTTTGATTTGTTGGGGTTTTTCTGTGATTATTCACAGGATGAATCATACAGATCTGTTTTCTCTGAGATCCCAATAGCTGTTTCTCATCTGAGCTGAAATGTTACCCTGCTGACTGGATTCAGGAGGAATCAAACAGTTCCATAAAACACACAGCTTTCTGCACAGGTTATGTCTTAAAAAACATAACCCTACAACCTCTGACCATGCTCCTGAACTGGCTGATGTGGTTTGCACTGTCCCATGCCTGCAGTTCAAAATGGTCAAACATAGAGTCCTGTGAAACAATGACACTCCAGACTATCAAAAGACAGTTTTGCTGTGATATCAATAAATGGAAAGAAAACTCTTTTATCCCTTTCACTCAGTTCAGAGTGAACTTCAAAGTCTTCAAAGAGACACTGCACAACAGTTCCCTAGTCAACTCAGTTGTTTCCTTTTGATCTCATCATTTATATTAGTTTTTCCTTCTGTGACAAGAATCCTCACTTCTTTGATATGACCTTCCACTAAGTGCTCTCCTCTAGGTACTCAGTCACTGCCTGTCTTTGCTCTATTTCTGTCATTAGAGTAAATTATCAACTAATATAAAGGTATTTAAATTCAGCTATTACCTATTACTGTTGAACAAAGCCTTAGCTGCAGGTACATTCTCTCGGCATGTGTCTACCTTTCCCTCATCTCTTTGCTCTTTCCTCTAATGCTATATCTACCTTTAGATTCTAGCCTAACTTAGATTTTGGTTGCAAAGGTAAAAATTGTCCCTTATTTATTCTTTAAATAGAAAGGGTAGAGCGGTATCTGAGCCTCTTAGTGCTGTTTTAATAGACTCAAGAAAATGGAAAAACCCAGTTTCCTGTAAGAAGGTAAGGAAGAACACTCCATAAAATGGCACTTGAGGTGCAATTTCTCTCTCTCCTCCCTTTATTTTTTACATATTTGATCAGTGGCTGGAGCACCAAATTATAGTCACAAAGTTGCCTTCGTTACGTGACTCTCTACACATGTGCTTGATATGACACCAGTTAGAAGATTAAGAATAACTAATCAAAAATAAAATACTGATATTCAAATACTCAATTGACAAATCACAGTCAACCCTGTATTAGAAATGACAACCACACAATCACAACATATAAATCTGTATGAAGACAGAAAGAAAAAGCAGTGTACTTGATACACCAGAGAACTCCAGACAGTATTTAAAAAATAAAACAAGCCATATGTCGCTTTGCAATTTTATAGGAAAATTCTTTTGTTTCCACACAAGGATCAGGTGGCAGCACTAAACTTTATCTAGGAAATGCAACCACAGACTGCAATGTTAGTGGTTTTTCAGAAAATAGTAACCCTCAAATTATAATGTCTGTGGTTACAAACTACTACAATCTACTTCTGAACTCAGACATGGTTAAGGTCTGTATGCTGTGAACTATTCCTTTTCCAGACTTTGCTAGCATATTAAAAATAAACTCATCTAATGGCAGGGATCTCTTTCCACTCAGCCCTACTGAGCTGTGTCCTTCCTCACACATTCAAGATTACACAGAATTTTCTTCTAATGTGTCTCTGCAAACACTGGCTACACGAAAGTTTCTGCAAGATGGTGGAAAAACAAAAATGTAAAACTGAAAATAGTGGTCTGCTGCCTTCTTGAGAGAAATGTAAGCACACACTCCCACTGGAAGCTGAACAATAAAGGCAAGAGGAAGAGAAAAAGAGGCCCTTTGAGGAGCAAGTTCCTCTCCAGCACATTGTGTGATACCATGTTATCAATTGACTATTCAGTTAGGAATTGGGAAATAGAGGAAAAAACACCAACAACTTCTTGTATGAGTCCACAAAATGCTGAACATAAAGAGCAATGTTACCACAGTCCAGGCCTGCTACTGAAAAACCATTTTATCTTCCAAAAATTAGCACTGAACCAATCAAAATCCTATGGAGTCGTAAAAAGTTATTTCTGAAATTGTATTTAAAAATATGCCACTTTGCTAAGTGTTTCAGAAACACGATAGAGGGAATATTTCAAATTCAGACTCCTCCACAGGACTCTGCAACCCTTGTAAAAGATGAAGAAAATAACAAGTGGACAAAGAGAGTTGATAAACGTAATAGTTTGTATTCTCTTAACTGATAATGCACACAAAGCTCTGTATATCATAAACACTTTACACTCTGTATATCGTAAACACTAAACAAAGAGCTTTGA